TAAAACATTTTGCTTTGATTTTTAAGTTTTGTTTTTCCTAGTATAGAATTCTGAGTTGATCATTTCAGTCTTTAATCTTCAAAGGTATCACCACACAGTCTCTGTCTGGATTGCATACTTTCTGCTGCTAAGTCTGCTGTCATTCTTTTTTTTTGTTGTTCCTTGATAATGTGTTTTTTCTTTTTGGCTACTTTCAAGATTTTTTCTTTTTATCAGTCATTTTCAGCAATTTGTTATAATATACCTTGCTCTATTTTTTGTTCTGTTTATTCTGTTTGGGGTTACTGAGCCTCCTGAATGTCTGGGTTTATAATTTTCAGCCTATTATTCCTCTGAATAATTTTTTTGTCCTGATCCTCCTTTCCTGGGACTCAAATTACATGTGTTAGATCACTGGTAGTGTCCCACAGGTCACTGATATACACACGTGGGCTTTCCCTGATTTTAAAAGCTCCCCATCTCCTAGAAGTAGCTGGCCTGACAGAATGACTTACTGAAGCTTCAGTTACGACGCTAGTGGGAAACAGCATCCCCGCCTTGCAGGGTGTAATGGGATGTAACGTGCTTGTCCTGTGGACCGATAACATGGTGCTGTTTCCCAGTCAGAAGACACATCTGTGATGCACAGCAGAGGGAGTACGAATGGCTGTGACGCCTAGTAACCACTGTAGGGTGGACTGTCATTGCTCCTTCTTGAGTGGCCTTCTGTGCAGCAGTATATACTTGTTGAGTTCAGTTGCATCCATGCGATTCGCTCTGACCAGTGAAATAAGAATAGAAGTGATGCATTTTACTTCTGAATAGGAGATTCAAGATCTAGTGCATGGTTTTCCCTCGCTCCCTGCCTTGCCCCATGTGACTGGTAAAATCCCAGCAGGCTGGGCTCCTCTGTCAGGCTGGGACATGATGGAGATAACAGTGAGCAGAGCTGCAACTGCCCCCCAGAAAAGTAATGCATGAAAAAGCAGATCTGTTTTGTTGACTCCTCTTAGTGCCTTGCTGAAAACAAAAACCACATATCCAAATATTTCACATATATAAAACTCAATATATTTATTTTCTGAACTTCCTGCCTAATGCCGTCGGTAACAAGCATGCACCCCAAACCACACCGATCACCCTGCCAGGCACCCCATTTCCACGGTGCACACGGCCTGTCACTATTCTCGTACCCAGACCCAGCCCCCGGACACCGTTTACTTCGCCTTTAGTCTTGCTCCAACTGTTGCCAACTCCTTTTAATTCTTAGTTTCCCAGTCAGTTTTAAATGTAAAATGTCTTTATTTTACCCCTTTTCTTTACTAAAAAAATTCAACGTATTTAACCAATTTCAAGGAGCCCTGGTGGAGCAGTGGGTAAGCACTCAGCTGCTAACTGAAGGGTCGGTGGTTCAAACCCACCAGTCGCTCCATCGGAGAAAGATACGGTAGTCTGCTTTTGTAAAGATTACAGCCTTGGAAACCCTATGGGGCAGTTTCACCCTGGGTCTATAGGGTTGCTAAACTGAAAAACCGAATTCATTGCTGTCAAGTTGATTCCGACTCATAGCGACCCCATAGAACAGAGCAGAACTGCGCCATAGAGTTTCCAAGGAGCAGCTGGTGGATTCGAACTGCTGACCTTTTGGTTAGCAGCCATAGCTCTTAACCACCAGGGTTTCCACAGGGTTCCCAGGAGTCGGAATTGACTTGATGGGTTTTTTTTTTTTTTTAAACCAATTTCAAAGGCTATACTCATTTATTATTTTAAAAATGGCAAATGCACAAAAGCACAAAGAATAAAGTAAAAATTGCTGTTACTTGAAACAACGTTGTCATTTGGTGCATTCTCCTTTCTCCTGGCAAACTGCAGTCAGACCACACACACGCGCTGGCTGGCTGCTTCTCTGACTTATTTTTGTGAATAATATCACAATTACTTGATCTTTGAAGGTGGTAGCTACATAACCTTGACTTTTCATATAAAAATTTGGGGGGGGGGCATAACACAATTGCTCTATTTCTTTTACTTCTACTTCTAAATCCTTTAGTGATTCAATAGGAGGATGGAATGCATGTCTGCTTTTCTCTTCTCCTTAACTAAACGTATTTAAATTGCATGTGTTTAATATAGAGGAATTATGTAAATACAACTCACTGGGTAGGCAAACAGTCATTGCATTTGAATTCTGTAAAATGTTTGCTACTGTCCACATAATATCCAAACACTGCAGCGCTTCCCTTCACTGTCAACAAAGCCTTCTCTACAGAATTTCAATGACCATGTTCTCAGAACATGCTAGAAAAGCACTGAGAGGAGGCTTCATGTTGATGGTTTCTCGGCTCACAGTCTAAGCAGTGTCTGCTATGGTCTTTCTAATAAAAATCAACACAGAACAAAATACATCCTCAGGTATATAAGATTGTACATTTTATTTATTCCATTGAGAACTAAATCTGAAGGTCTTCCCATGCCAACCACACCAGGGAACCCCTGGCTCTAGCCAGGCCGCTGCAGAGCCTGGCCCCCAGACCACACCCTGTGCGTCCCCATCTCAGAAGAAAGGGATTTTGACTCGGAGACTATGTACATTCACAGTTCTGAATGCCACTAACACTAAGTTACAACATAAGAGAAAAGAGAATCAGGAGGAACAAACATCCATTAAAAGTCTGCTTATCAGAAGTTTTTTTTTTTCCTGAAAATGCCCAGAGGCATATATCATTCAAAAAAAAAAACCCTTCATGCACAGACCCAAGGGAACTGAGGCTACCGTTTGGCGCCCTTCCCGCAGAATATCTTCGCTTATTAACCTCCTTCATGGATCACTGGCAGGCTTTCCTCTTAGGAACGCATCTTTATGCACTCTGTGACGATAAAGTGAATGGCGAGCCGCCAAGGCTGCAATCGGATTCCTTCCGTGCCCAACAGCTCAAGAGCCCGGCGTTCCCGCGGCTGGTCCCGCTCACAGCCAGGGGGCCATCTGCTGGCCGGCAGCATGCAGGTCAGCGACAGGTCGGAGGGGACCCAAGCAGGACTGAAGGTAAAGGCTTGTTTTTGTCCCTTTCAATCTTTATGGGTAGAGAAAAGCACACACAACTCTCTCAAGAGGTCAGTAAACATTTTTGTTCCTGTACTCACTGGCTCTGGTTGCCACTTTCTATGTAGATGCCCCAAATATAAAATCCGATTCATCTTAGAAATGCAGATGATTCTTTTGTACCCCCAAACCAACCCAGAGGCTTTGCTTTAGGAAACAAGCTACAGTCTACAGTTATGATTGTGCTTCAAGAATCCGTTCCTAATAATTTCAGGAAGAAACTGTGAAACGGATTGACATCACAAAGATGAGAGGTGATGCCAAGTCACCCCGCTTTCTAGCAATTCCGAGGCGCTGCTCTCTCTCCGTCTCTGACTCCAGCACCACAGGAGCCCGTCTCCTTGTCCTGCGTGGGGGCCACACCCGTTCCCTGACCGTGGTGGCCCGGGGAGGCGGCGCTGCCAGCAAGGAGAGGGCTTCGGGGTGTGTGCTCAGCGCTGGACCCCCGTCCCACCCCCCACACACGGCACGGACCCAGCTCGGCTCTCTCCACGGGAAGGGCAGCCGGATTCAGAGAAGCGGCTAACCAGAAAAAAAAAAAAAGTTTTCATCAAGTTGATTCTGACTCATGGTGACCCCATGTGTGTCAGAGTAGAACTGTGCTCCATAGGGTTTTCAATGGCTGAGTTTTTGGAAGCAGATTGCCAGGACTTTCTTCTGAGGTGACTCCATGTGGATTAAAACCTCTAACCTTTCAGTTAGCAGTCAAGTGTGTTAACGGTTAGCACCAACCAAGGAATCCAAATCACCATAGAAACTGGAGCAAAGAGGAAGGAGGGTCCTGTTCCCCTGGGACCTGACCTGTCAGTGATTGCGGAATCACCCTGTCTACCCGCTGAGCGTCACAGTCTGCCCAAGGCACAGCAAGTCACAACCACTCACCAAAGAAGAGGGTAACGCCCAGCTCTTACCCTGCAGTCTAATCTATTTCATCCACACTCAGCACTTGACTGGAGTTTAAGCCACAATGAAGCAGACCACGTTATACTGAAGCAGACCTACCAGATGGTTAATGTTTATAAAAAAAAGTGGGGGGAGGGTGCTCAGCAAGAATGGGGGAGAGCAGAGAAAGGATTTTGGGGCTAGGTCCTCGTGGTCAAGCCTCCCTGGGGGACCCCACTGACCGGGAGGAGAGAAATTTACCTGGTAGAGAGAGGCCTGGGAGAAATTTAAGTCAAAGCCCCAAACGGCCTCAGAGTCCATCAAAAAAGGGCCTACAAACAAATATCCTCTGACCCTAAAAGGAAAAATGAAGTAGAAAAATCATTTTGTCTTTTTAAAAAATGCTGAATGTTTCCTGAAGTATCGAAATGAAGTTTATAAAATATGCATGAGTTTTCACACAAATATAGAAACGGTTAAAAAATCAGACAATGCTGCTGCCACGCTGGGAATCCACGAGGCGGCGGGTAGTTTGTGCTGGAATCAAAACGTGGTGACACATTCCGTGTTTCAAGTGTGCGTGGTACGTTATGGAGGCCCTGCCTTGTCTGCCTGCCGCCGCCAACGGGCGAAACGGGCCGTTAGAAAAGATAGTAAGGAAAACTGAAAACCAGGCTACTTTAGGTAAAGACAAAGCAACACCTGGCGTCCACTGAGCCCTGCGAAGTAACTGTCCTCACACAGAAGCCCCCACCCCACAGGAGTGCCCGGCTGTGTGCGGCCAGCAATGCCCTCACAGAGGCATCCCACAGGCAGGAGACCGGACGGTGAGTATGAACACGTGTGGTTTTCCTCTCAGACTAACACAGGGCACAGGACACGCCCTGAAGCCGGGCTCTTAAACTGAAACTCTCCACAAGGAAACAATAAAGACAAACCCTACTAAAAACTAAACTCACTGCCATTGAGTCAATTCCGACTCATAGCAACCCCGTAGGACAGAGTAGAGCTGCCCCATAGGTTTTCCAAGGCTGTAATCTTTACGGAAGCAGATTGCCACATCTTTCTTCCATGGAGCTGCTGGTGGGGTCGAACTGCTGACCTTTCGGTTAGCAGCCGAGTGCTTAACCACTGTGCCACCAGGGCTCCTTACACACCCCAGGTCTTCCAAAACCCGGGTCTGGACACAATAAATGCAGGGCTTGTGGGGAGAGAGAAGACCAGATGTCCTCACGCGCAAACGAGGAGCCACAGCCCCGTGGAGGGCATGGCAACAGAGCCGGAGTGGACTCGTTTCTCCGGAACCTTCTGTCCTAGTCCAGTTTCCTATGGAGAGGCTTCCCCCCGGGGTCAGTGCTTTCGGGACTGAAGTCAGTACAGAGGCCGTTCAGGGTTGGCGCTGATGGAGTCTGCGTGCAGCTTTCAAACCGTGCCTGGTCAGGATACAGATATTCTTCTGCGAAGTCGGGGTACATGTCTGCAAACCTAGTGAAGTCAGCTGGGAAAGACAAAGGCACTGTGGTTACGGGGATCTGGGAGGCGTGAATGTCTAGCATGTGGGGGCTCTTTTCCTGAGCCCAAGCAGGTATCCACCTCCCCCCACTCCCACACACCCTCGGGGAGGGTAGACTGATGAGCAGACACTTTTGGAGGTGACAAGCACTTGAACCTCAGGCTTCCTCTGCTGGCACTAAGTCACTGTGAAAACAAAGGGGCAGGTTACCTGTCCTTTTACTGTTCCCACTTTGGGGAAAATCTAAAGAAAGCTTATGATTTTCAATTCAATGGATATATCCTGGCTACTTGGTACAAGCAACCTGACCTGTTGCTGTCAAGTTGATTCCGACTCACAGCAATCCTGTAGGACTGAGTAGAACTGCCCCATAGGGTTTCCAAGGCTGAAATCTTTACAGAGGAGACTTGGTGGCACAGTGGTTAAGCACTCGGCTAATAACCAAAAGGTTAGCAGTACAAACCCACTGGCCGCTCTGCAGGATAAAGATGTGGCACTCTGCTTCCATAAAGATTATAGCCTTGGAAACTCTATGGGGCAATTCTACTCTGTCATATAGGGTTGCTAGGAGTTGGAATTGACTTGACGGCAATGAGTAATCGTTAACAGAAGCACACTGCCGCATCTTTCTCCCATGGAGGAGTGGCTGGTGGGTTTGAACCCCCATCTTTTGGTTAGCAGCCAAGTGCTTTAACCCCTGTGTCACCAGGGCTCCTAGGGCATGCAAAGTACTGTTAATTGGAGGAAAAGGTCTAAGGAAAATGTGTCTGGATCAAAATCTGACACTCTGGGAGATAAAGACCATTGATTGCTGTCATGGCTAACAGTACGTGTCCACTTGGCTAGGCCATGCTTCTCAGTGGTTTGACAGATACTGTGTAATCATCCTCCATTTTGTGATCTGATCTGAGCCGCCAATCAGTTCGAAGGGGAGTTTCCTTGGGGTGTGGCCTGCATCCAGTATATATGGATATTCTGGCAAAGCTCGCTCACTCTATCTCTTTCCTGCACCCGACTTGTCATCCTCTGACCTGTAGTTCTTGGGGCGTGAGCCAGCAGCCTGTTGCCTGACCTGCAGATTTGGGGATTTGTTGGCTCCTGCAGTCCTGTGAGCCGGCAGTTTGCCATCTGACATGCTGATTACGGGTTCATCAGCCCCTGCAACTGTAAGTCAAGCAAGGCCTCCAGCCTGAAGCCTGACCCATGGATTTGGGACCCCAGCCTCCACAACTACATGAGCCATTTCCTTGGAATAAATCTGTCTATATTTATATATACTCTTTTTTATATATTCACTGGTTATGCTCCATTAGCAAACCCAGCCGAAGGCAATCACACACATTTTATCACGGAGGAAACCAGGCACAGCTGGGGCTAACCACCTGAGCTTCTGTTTGTCCATGCCATTGTGTCGGAACGGGGCCGGGCTGCACACTGTGTGGAGGTTTTGTTGAGCACAAGGGGCTGGATGTATCAGATTACAGACTGTAAGCAGCTCTGAAAACATGAAGGCCAGTGACACCTTGTGGGAAACCCTGGAACAGTCCTTACTGGAAATAGCCTGCAATTGGTCAGCATTCAGTAAAGAGATCGTCAGCAACAAAACCAACCACACCAGGAAGCATCAGCCACTGTCAATGACGACAAAAACAAATGCACAAACACTCACAGACAACACACATACTACACACACACGCCACAGACACACACACCACACACCACAGACACAAATACATACGTACCACACACGCACAGCACACACACATCACACTGACACACACACCACACAGACACACATACATACGTACCACAGACGCACAGCACACACACCACAGACACAAATACATACA